GTGTATTCTCTCCAGGGTTGCCATGAGGCTTCAATGAGATGACGCAGGTGAAGGGCAGAGTGCCAAGAACTGGAGCCATTCTTACTAACCAGTCTGCCTCTCTCGGCCCGTCATTTGACACTAACACTGTCTGACAGCTAACATTCACGGAGCACTTACTATGAGCAGGCACAGTGCTGACCTCTGGGTTTCAAAGGAGAATTAAGTCTTAGCTTGATTATATTTGACGTATAAAGAGTACTCAGTTAAAGGCAGATACTAACGTCGAGGGCAAGCCCCATTTGCCTTGGCAGTAACAAACAGGAAGGCGAGATGGTTGACCTGAGTCTTTTTGGCCTCTCCCACTTAGCCACACCCTTTGCTGCCAGCTTTTGCATCCCTGGTCAGCAGTCCCTAGCCTACATCAAGGACTTGGCTCTTCTAGAACAAATATGGAAGGACCCATAGACCTGAAGAGCTTGAAGGCTAAGATGATTAAAACAGAGAAAAGTTGTCAGGCTAGCAGTTACCCTAGCGAGGAGTGGTAACTGGAAGAAAGCCTACAGAGCTCATGGACGCTGGTAACGCTGTCTCTCGGCCTAGATGCTGGTTACATGGATGCTGTTGACGCTGTCTCTTGGTCTAGATGCTGGTTACATGGAGGCTGGTAACGCTGTCTCTCGGCCTAGATGCTGGTTACATGGATGCTGTTGACGCTGTCTCTTGGTCTAGATGCTGGTTACATGGAGGCTGGTGACGCTCTTGGTTTAGATGCTGGTTACATGGACGCTGGTGACACTGTCTCTTGGTCTAGATGCTGGTTACGCACATGTGTTCACATTGAGAAAACTTCTACAATTAAGACTTGTGCAGTTTTCTGTATGACTGTTATGTTACAATAAAAAATTATTCAGATCGTGACTGCCCCTGTCCATTATCCAAAGCATGAAGCAGCCCTTCCCAATGGGTATTACAAGTACAACGGGGTTGCAAGCACAAGACGTCAGTCCCCGGTGGCAGCAAGCGGCCTTATCACTTTACCCACTGGGAGCTGTGGAAATACCATGATGTTTGGTGAGATTGGCAAGTCCTGCTCTCGAGTACCCAATGAATAGCATCCTCCTCATCAGACCAGTTTACCTTAAGGTTTTTCCTATCTAAGGTCAATTTTATTCACTTTACTTTTTTAATTTTTTGGCTGCGTTGGGTCTTCATTGCTATGCACAGGCCTTCTCTAGTTGCGGCGAGCAGGGGCTACTCTTCATTGCAGTGCGCGGGCTTCTCACTGCGGTGGCTGCTCTTGTTGTGGAGCATGGGCTCAAGGTGCACGGGCTTCAGTAGTTGTGGCTCGCAGGCTTAGCTGCTCCGCGGCATGTGCGATCTTCCCGGACCAGGGCTCCAACCCGTGTCTCCTGCATTGGCAGGCAGATTCTTAACCACTGTGCCACCAGGGAAGTCCCTATTTACTCCATTTTTAATTAGATTCTTTTATCCTCTCCAACCAAGAGACAGCTGGCTACATTTAAGGGTCGACACCCCTAGACCGATCTTTACAAACCTGAGAGTCAGTCTTGGACATCACTCCATATCTCACCCTTCATAACGAGCAAATGTCTAGTAGGTCCCTCCCTCTTCCCCAACTTCCTTACTTCCCAATTGCTAGAGGGAAAACCTAAAATAAATTTCAATCATTTGTCAAGTCAATGGATATACAAGTCAATGGATATAATTTCAGTAAAAATATACAGACTACGTGCTGGTTTTCTCTTTGAAAGTTTATTGTCATTAAAAAAAAAATAAAACCCTCTACTTGTTACATTCACCTCTCAGAACATTTAATGTACCAGTTAATGATGTTATTGTAAAGAAAGCCCACCAACTGCTTGCAATAGCTCTAAGTTATCATTATTATTTTTTGCCATGTTCTGGTATTATAGTGGTTTAAACTCTTTGGGAAAAAATGGTGCAACATTAAGTAGCAAGATTTCAAATTCCCAGATTAGAAACAATTTTTATATCAGGAGGAATTTTAGTAAAAAATCCAACGATAAAAGGAAATGTTAATAGAAAAACAAAAATACTGTAAAAAATAGGATTCCCCCCACCCAGCCCCAAGTTAGGTTAAAAAAAAAAAAAAATGGAACCAATCCCACCCACCCACCCCCATATTTCTCTTAGAAAAGTCACCCAGTCCTAAACGCAGGGTCTCACACACCAATACAAGTAGCCTGATTTGCAGACCAGCCTCTGGGATCTTACACTGGCCCCAGTCTGAAGGTTTTTTTTCAGAACTTAAGGTAAGTTAGGTAGTTAGACTTCCATAAATACTGGTATCCAAATGAATGAAAACATCCTGACTTTGGTATGGCTACAGAAATCTGGAAACTGTTCCAAGAGGACACTGGCTTAGAGAGGGAGTTGAGGGAAGCACACAACAACCCCCAAGTGGAGGTAAAATAAACATTAGGCCACACCCAAAGCAAACACTGTGTGTAATACCTGAGGCTGATGCCTTGAACGAAACACATGTAAAGGTTCTTGATCAGAATCACACACATACAGCTTCTTGAACAGAGTAACACACATACAGGTTCTTGATCAGATTAACACATGTATAGGTTCTTGATTGGAACTGTCTGGACCAAACTTTATCCAAGTTACCACTTGCAGGAAACAGTTTGAATTTGGTAATTTATCCAGTACCCTGGAGTCCAAGAAGAGACAAAGACGTTTTGGAAGAAGAATAACCACCCGGGCTAAAAGCCAGGCCCCTCTTATTCTAGGAAGCTCAAAGTGTTTTTTCCTTCTCTCGTTCGATTTTGCCCATCACAAAAGCACCTCCATCTCCCAACAAGGGGGCTCTTCCACCCCAGGTCACCACAGGGGCCTGTATGAGGGGAAGAACTGCTGATTTTTCATCCCTGGAGTGATTCAATAAAAAGCAGGTCTTCTGGGATCAGGAATATAATTTACGGTGCTGTGTCTCAAGTGCACTTTACGGTTTCCCTCATTTTCACTAGATCATGACTGTTAAAGGTTGTGAGGATACTGAGAAGGCAGCGGTGGGGCTGCGACCATGCCGAAGTGTGGCCTCAAACATCCTCAAATTTACTGAAAAGGGTAAAGTGCCTGGTCTTCAAATCACCAGTTATTTCATGAAAGCACAAAGGACCCACCAGACAAGGCAAGAAAACAAGGCAACTTGCTGCTGCATCCATGCAGAAAAGCAGTTATCAATACAATCCTTCCCCCAAAAAACAAACTTTGGTGCAGTGTTAGGAAGACAAGAAAATCATTAAAAAAAAAAATTAAAAATTAAAATAAACCACCTTTGATAGCAACACACACTAAATATATCTAAATAAATTTCCATCACAGGACACAAGGGGATAACAAAGAGCTCCCTGATATTATGGGAGGTAACACACACCACACTGACAATTCAATCAAGAGAGAGCCTCCCTTACAGCAAAGGCCGCCAAGAAGAAACAAAAGGTGAAGCCCCTGTTTACTGTCGATCTGGTTCACTATTGCAAAGATCATAATCATGGGGGGCTGGGAGGCAGAGAAGAAACTCAGGACCCAGGCAATTTTGATAAACAGCATCATTTGTCCTGTTCTCTAAATGAGACTCCAACACCAGGAAAAAATGAGAGGAAAATTGGATTATAAATGAAAACTAAAATGTATCTGTACAAGTCTTTACTCTGAGTCAGTAGGGTTTGGCCTCTGTTGAAGCCAGGACTCTGGAGAAGGTGATTTACTTGTCATCACAGCTCTACAACTAGCTGTGGGGTGTGTACATCAAGAGACAACACGAAGACAATCACTTGAGACCAAGGGAATTACTTACAAAGATTTCCTAGGATGTATAAGGTCTACTGATTGCCCACAGAGATGCTAATACTTGCTCTAACCCCAAATACTTTAAACATCTTAAGGTGGCAACTAGAATATTAGAAACAAAACAAGAAAATCATCACCCAGTGAGTTATTTCTCCCATTATGGGAATGAGGGAAAGGGAGCAGGGCAGGCTGTTTCACCAGGATTCATTAGGGAGAGTGCAGGTTTAGCGGCAGCCAACGGCCTTCCCCGTCTGCAACCTGGGCCAGATCTCCTGGGAGCCCGGGAGTGCCGACAAGGTTCCATGGGTTCAGAATGGCCAGGCACAACACTGGCATCAGCGGCGAGAAGAGTGCAATGTGAGTTACCAGTGAGAGTCTACAGATCACTGATGACTCCACCAACCATCTCACCTCCCCACCGACCACAGACAGCCCGATTACCAGCCAGCGGCAGGTGCCACCTCATCTACTTGGGAGCAGGAGAGAGGAGGGAATTACAAATGAAAGCTTCTGAAATGACCGCTTCTTGTTCCAGCCTGAGCTAGAACAAATGCGTTTGAATGAACCACTTGCTTTAAACAACATTTAAAATATGGAACCTTCAGCACTTTATGATATGAAACGCCCCCTTCCCTCAACCCCATTTACTGCAGTGCACGTCATCTCCCGGGCGAATTTTTCTGTCTTTCAGCCGGTGGAATGGATGGCATACGCCAGATGTTACACAAGGCATTCATTTCTCCGAGAAGGCTTAGAGCTAGGAGAATTAATCTCCTGCTAGGACCTCTGCCCCAAGCTTCTGGGGAAACAGTGAATTGGGCTTGACAAGGAAAGTAGCTACATGATCCACTAATCAGATTCAAAACATGAAAATGCACTGAGGAGGGTACCCCTTCCCACTCCTCATGACAGCAAGACCTACAGATAATTAAGAGAGACGTCCCTTCAAACTCAAAGGAGGCTTTAAAAAAAAAAAGACAAAGTATAAGAAAAAAACAAAGAAATCAGTAAAGCAAACTCCCAATCCTCCTGAAAATAAAATAGTCTCATGGTGACGGATGACTGGAAGAAGTCGAGGCAGGGAAAGAATGACACAAAGGCGGGAAGTGCCTGGCCACAAGGACGCCTTGCAGAATCCAACACAGTGTTCTCCATTTTCCAAGGCCAAGCAAGTAGCAAGTCCCAAGTTAAAAACTTTCTATTAAGAGCAAAACAAAACCAAAAACCATTCCAGAAAAGGGGTCAAGGGAAGAACAACACTGGAGAAAGTCAGGCCGCTGACCTCCGGCGGATCACAAAGAGCCCACGCTGAAGCTGACCCAAGTAAATCCTCATCTTGGTGCTGTCGCTTGTCTTCCTCACCCAGATCTGCAGGGGAGATGGAAAAGGAACAGGATGAGAGAGGTTAATCCTGAGGGGCAAATCAGGATGTCTGCATGAATCAGGTGTAGCCAGACAGCTGGCAACCTCTTCTTGTCAACCCGTGAGGCATTCACAGGCCTTGACCTCTGGCCTCCTAAAGGCACGCCTCCACCGCAGAGAGCAGACATCATCACCCTTGAATTCATTTCTCCCAGCCATCTCTCTTACACCTTTGAGTAAGAAAATGGAAAGCACGGTGTTCTTGAGTTCCATTTTTGCCTTCATCTTAAAGACTTTTTTTTAGACTGCACTGTGTAGCAGGTGGGCTCTTAGTTCCCCGACCAGGGATCAAACCCGTGTCCCCTGCACTGGGAGTGTGGAGTCTTAACCACTGGACCACCAGGGAAGTCCCCTTAAGGACTCTTTTTGATATGGTATGACTACAGCATTATCAACATTCAAAACACATATATTCATAAACTTACAATCAAATTAGAAAATATTTTCCTTGCCCCTAGGGACTTCCATAGTATAGTCTTTCAATTCTCTGGTTTCCTGGCAATTAAGGCTAATGGTCATAACAGCAAAAGATAGAAAAATTAACAACAAAAGAAATGCCCACGGGTGAGAGAAGGCCCAATGAGGATGCTGAGAAGGCCAAATTAGCTTAAGACAGTCCTTCCCTCCTGACCGCATCATTCTCCCACAGATGGGATCAGATGTCGGGCACTGTACAGGGCGGATGTATTCTTCCCTAGAACTGAAAACGAGCTCTTCCAGCATGGGGCCTGCCAGAACTGCCAAGTGCACCCAGTATGTGGCAACCCTGCAGCCAGGGAAGGTAAGGAGAGTTGCCACCTCAGTCACCTGACCCACTTGCGGGGGAGATTACTGGAGGCCAGACACTGTGCTGACCAAACTGACCAAGCTTCTTCATCCTCAGAACAATCCTATGGAGTAAGTACTGTTATCAGCTCCATTTTACAGAAGAGCAAGGCTGAGTCCACTTGTCCAATGGGAATCCTGGCGCCTGACATCAAAGCCCCTTGCTCTTCTTACCTGGTTCCCCACTTTCTCACCCCTTCTCTCATCCGTGTTATTAACACGTGATCAGATGGAGACAAAAGCATAAATTTTTTAAAGATCTGCATCTCACCTATATATGCAAGTACTAGTTTACAGATATAGCTCCACCTTTGCCCATTCAGTTGTCAGGTTTATAAAAAGCTTATTCAGGGCTTCCCTGGTGGCGCAGTGGTTGAGAGTCTGCCTGCTGATGCAGGGGACACGGGTTCGTGCCCCGGTCTGGGAAGATCCCACATGCCGCGGAGCGGCTGGGCCCGTGAGCCACGGCCGCTGAGCCTGCACGTCCGGAGCCTGTGCTCCGCAACGGGAGAGGCCACAGCAGCGAGAGGCCCGCATACCG